TAGTCAGCCCGTACATATATTTTTTACAATTTATTACTTTTTTGCACGTCTTGACATAAGTCTGAATTGATTGAATACCCCTGCCCTCTACGTACAGTACGTAGATGTTTTCTTCATTTTACCTTTGTTATGAGACTTTTGTGACGTATAAGTTTACCTTCCCAACACTGACAAGAAAACTGTCAGCCGTCAATTTTACAGTTCCATTCGTTACTTTGTTTCTCTCTATTGTGAGAACAAAACGAAATAGCAGACAAGGAAGTAGTATGGGGGGGACACAGTTGAATACCGTTAAGCGCGTTAGTGTGAAAAATACCCATTAGAAGATAGCGTAATCTGTCTTTACGCCAACCATTTATATCGTTTTTAAGTAATCCGCAAAAAGCCAACGATTAAATAAACTTAAAGTGCTTTGAGAACATTACCTTGGTCATAATTCGAGTAAAAATTATAGAAAAAAAATCATTTTTAGTGACTCGTACCAAACATTTGCGATGGGTTCTGGAACCCCAGTTCGCGAATGTTCGAGATCGTACCGTATCCGTGGGGTCGATGCGACAAATACCCTGCCTCTGACTCTTTCTAGCACGTTGGGTACAGAGGTTTCATCGAGTGGACATGAGTCACACGGATCGAAAATTAAAGATCAAACTCATCCAGAGACGATAAATTGTTGCGTAGGTGGAGCCTGATGACTAGTCAATTGGGAAGGAGATTCTCTGTGCAGAGGAGAACTTCACACGGGTCTATCATAGTCTCAGGTGATAGTTCGAGGATCGATTTCAATTGTGTCCACCATATGTCCAAAAGCAGGGATGATGACTGTAGTCAGGTACAGTGAGAGTAGACGAGCAACCATTTATCACAATCTAAATCCTCCCCCGCTTGAACCGGTGACAAGACAGAGTCGAGATGACCGAGGAGGAATCAGTCGTAAGCCGCTTTCACCAATACGGGTCAGAAAACACCGCCTAACTTAGTCTTTCGTGACAGTAGCCTTTTGCTGCACTACCTACCCTCACTCACCTTCAGTAGGTGTCCAGAAAAACTCGAGGGGACCGAGTCCGATGTTGCTATTACTACTATCACTATTTATACTGCTGCTTACTAGCAGTGTAGCCGAGTGATAGTAGTGCTGATTCTATTACTGACGCTAATAATTGGTCAGAAATGACACTGGTTAGAGTCATCGCTATGCACGTTTT